CATCCCTCAGGTATCAGCTCATCCCTCAGGTATCAGCTCATCCCTCAGGTATCAGCTCATCCCTCAGGTATCAGCTCATCCCTCAGGTATCAGCTCATCCCTCAGGTATCAGCTCATCCCTCAGGTATCAGCTCATCCCTCAGGTATCAGCTCATCCCTCAGGTATCAGCTCATCCCTCAGGTATCAGCTCATCCCTCAGGTATCAGCTCATCCCTCAGGTATCAGCTCATCCCTCAGGTATCAGCTCATCCCTCAGGTATCAGCTCATCCCTCAGGTATCAGCTCATCCCTCAGGTATCAGCTCATCCCTCAGGTATCAGCTCATCCCTCAGGTATCAGCTCATCCCTCAGGTATCAGCTCATCCCTCAGGTATCAGCTCATCCCTCAGGTATCAGCTCATCCCTCAGGTATCAGCTCACCCCTCAGGTATCAGCTCATCCCCAGGTATCAGCTCATCCCCAGTTATCAGCTCACCCCTCAGGTATGGCATCCAGTTCTGAATAACCTGGAGGAGAGCTGACCAAACAGAAAATCCACAGAGAAGAGGGTTGATCTGGATTTAGGGGTGCACCTTATGTAAGGGTTGAGGAGATCAAGAAGATTTAAGGGGCACATGTTGGTTATCTTTAGACATTTGAGGAGTTCTTGAGTTAAAAGAAAGTAGCCCAGCTTGTGTGGCTCAGTGTTTGAGCATGAACCCATGAACCAGGAGGTCACGGTTCAATTCCCTGTCAGGGCACATGCCCAGGATGGGGGGTTGATACCCTGTAGGGGGTGTGCAGGAGGCAGCTGATTAATGATTCTCTCTCATCATTGATGTTTCTCTCTCTCCCTCTCCTGTCCTCTCTCTGAAATCAATAAAAACATACACACACACACACACACACACACACACACACACACTCTAGAAGCCCGGTGCACAAATTTGTGCACCAGTGGGGCCCTCACTCTGGCCTGCAGGATGGGGCTGAAACTGGCTCTCCGACATCCCCTGAGGGGTCCTGGGTTGTGAGAGGGCGCAGGCCAGGCCGAGGGACCCCACCGGTGCACAATCAGGGCCGGGGAGGGATGCGGGAGGTTGGTCAGCTGGGGAGGGACTGTGGGTGGGGGGGCTCCAGGGCATATCCAGCTCAGCTGGCTCAGTCCTGATCAGCTGGACCCCAGCTGATCAGAGTTTCTGCCCCCTGGTGGTCAGTGCATGTCATAGCGAGCAGTTGAGCGGCCTTTGCATATCATTAGCATATTACGCTTTGATTGGTTGAATGGCCGACCGGTCAACCGGACACTTAGCATATTAGGCTTTCATGCACTGGGCTGCAGGGCGGGGGTTGGTCTCTCAGCCTGGCCTGTGCCCTCTCACAGTCCAGGAGCCCTCAGGGGATGTCTGACTGATGGCTTAGGCCCACGAGCCATCGGCGGGACATCCATAGTGCTGCCACGGAGGCAGGAGAGGCTCCCGCCACCGCCACTGAGCTTGTCAGCCGTGAGCCTGGCTCAGGGCTCCCCCTGTGGGAGGGCACTGACCACCGGGGGCAGCTTCTGCATTGAGCATCTGCCCCCTCGTGGTCTGTGCGCGTCATAGCAACCAGTTGTTCCGCTGTTTAGTCTATTTGCATATTAGCCTTTTATTATATAGGATATAAATATGAAAGTAGTCTTAGCTGTGTTTGTTAAATGAGAAAAAATAAGAAATGTTATATTCCATGGAAATTGGGGAAGAGTAATTTCACCGTATTTGGGGGGAGCATTTCTGAGTCAGGAAAGTGTTAACAGGTATAACCTGCTGCAGAAAAGAGGCAGACTCTGTGTATCCATTCATTTATTCTGCGGTTTATTCCGTGAGTACGTGAGCGCCTGCTTTCTGGGAGACCCTGCACCCAGCCCTGCACCCAGCAGGAATGTGGGTGCCATCATTGGAATGAGGGTGCCACCATCATGAAACTCAGGTATTAAAGAAGTGTGATGAGGCTACAAAAACCCCCCACAGCACTTTGGGTGAGAAGGAAAGAGGAATTTAACCTCATTTAGGAGTTTGGGAAGGTCTCGATAAGGGGGTGAAACTTCAAGCCTCACAGAATGGCTCGTTCACAGGGGATTAGTGAGTATTTCTGAAAACGAGACTAAATATAAAACTTGTCAGAGGATTTATTTTTAAACCGAAAGATCTGGGTTAAGCCTATTCAGTTGTCCTTTTCTCCGTGATGCATCCAGGGCCCGTGGATGGTAAACATCGTGTGGCTGCGCCTTGAGACCAGAGTCCAGAACTGGGTCAGCTCTTCAGCAAAGCGTGTTTGAGTCCTGGACTCACCTCGCTCTGGTGTGTAGCTGTGGTTCATCGCTTTACCTCCCCGTGGCGGGGACGGGTGTGCGTGCCTCTATCCAGTTCCCTTCTCCAGGCGCTCGGAAGCGAGTCCCTTTTCAGTTTTGTGTAAATGTGTGACTGTTTAGTCACCAAACTGTGAGTGGACGTGGGCGCCCATTTCGGGACGAAAAGCAGGGCCGTGCGAAGCGGCCACCTGGCCTCAGGACCCTGTGCTGCCTGAGGGACCACGGAGGCCACACGTTCTGGATGGAAGGGGCGGGACCCGAGGCCCTTCTAGAAAGGAGGGGCTTGGAGTGGCTCTCAAACAACAAACTGGCGGCCAGGCAGCGACAAACCAGCTTCGTGTTCTTTTTTGTTTTTCTTGATCCTCGCCCAGAGGAGAGCACCGGCCTGCAGCTGGGAAGGTCCCGGTCCGACCGATTCCGGTCAAGGGCAGGTACCTCGGTGGCAGTTCCCACCTGGGCTGGGGCCCTGGTCAGGGCGCCTGCAGGAGGCAACCAATCCTTGTGCTTCTCTCACATCGATGTTTCTCTCTGTCCCTCCCTCTCTCTGCTACTTGCCCTGAAAATCAATGGAAAATGTCCTCGGGTGAGGATTAAAACAACCACCACAAAACAGGATGCGTGGCCACTTCAGTCCCTTCTCTGTATCTTCCATAAGACGCTGCGGAGCTGCACAGGGAATGTGTTTCCTTGTTAAAATGCTTCCCTCCGCTGCTCGTGCGCGGGCTCGACGGGCCGAGTTCCCCGCGAGTGGCCGGCGGCTGCTGCAATGAGCGCTGTGCTTTTCACAAGAACTGTGAGCTGTGTATCTAGGCACCTCGTTATTTGATTTGCCCGAAGTGACTGTGTTCACAGCGCTCGGTTCACGTTTTTCATGAAAATGTGCCTCTTAAGAATGAAAAGGTCGGACGAAGTCATGCTGGCCTTTCTCCGTTCCCCAAGCTTAATCCTAAAGCGAGACGGTCGCAGGCAGCCTTGTGTCCTATGAGCGCTGGTGACCTCACTCAGGTACCAATCCCTTTAAACTCGCCTAATTTTTAGATGATGATTAGATAAAGAGAAAAACACTTCAGGATAAAGTAAGGAACCCACAGATTATAACTGAGCTCTCACGCGTGGTGAGGATGCGTGGGTCAGTCCTGTGACCCAAGTCAGTGGTCGGCAAACTGCCGCTTGGCAAACCACGGCGCTCGAGCCACATGCGGCTCTTTGGCCCCTTGACTGTGGCTCTTCCACAAAATACCGACTTCTGTGCATGGGCCACGAAGTTTCAATCGCACTGTACGTGCGCGCCCGCACGTGGTATTTTGTGGAAGAGCCACACTCAAGGGGCCAAAGAGCTGCATGTGGCTCGCGAGCTGCGGTTTGCCGACCACGGACCCAGGTGGTCTTAGCATCTTGTAGCTGGTTTAGGGTCAGTTTCTTCCTTTCTTGAATACATTTTTTTAAAAATTTTTATCCTCACCCGAGGATATTTTTTCCATTGATTTTTAGAGAGAGTGGAAGGGAGAAGGAGAGAGAGAGAGAGAAACAACAACGTGAGAGAGACACATCAATTGGTTGCCTCCCACATGCCGGGAGCCTGCAACTGAGGTAGGTGCCCTTGATTGGAATTGAACCCGGGACCCTACAGTCCGCAGGCCGACGATGTTTCTACTGAGCCAAACCTGCCAGGGCTTGGATACATGCTTTATCTACACTCCTTTTTGCTAAGTGATGTGGTGTGTTCCTAAGAGGTTAAACACCCGTTAGCCAAGGAGACCCCAATTTTATCTTTCGCTCAGAACGTGTCTCTGAAGCCCAGACTCACGGAGCCAACGCTGTCTGCGGTGTCTGCCTCGACGTGTCAAACTCCCGATTCTGTGCCCATCGCTGCCCTGCCAGGGCCTCTTCCGACCTCTCGTCTCGACGTGCGTGTCTCCTTCCGTCCCGCCGTGAACAGGGGAGGCATCGTTCTCATCTTCCCTCACTTTCTTCTCCACGGCCAGTCGGTTTCCGCCCACGGCCGCTTCTACCTTCACCCCAGGCCTTCCGGCTGCTCCTCTGCACCTCAGGCTGCCGCTGCCTGTGCTGGCTCAGCCTCGGGCCTTTGGCTTCTGGGGCCAGAGAAGTGCCTGTGGGGCTCTGGGCACCTTGTGGGGTGTTTGTGTAGCAACCTCCCTGGATCCGTCCACTAGATGGCGCCAGAGCCCCCTCCAGGTGCACCTGCCACAGGGAGTCTGCGGGCACAGCTGGTCCTCAAGGACAGTCACCTGCGGGGCCCTGGCTCCTGCCCGAGTCACCGCGAGCTCCCATCTGGCCGGTGACGAGGGACTCTTCATGGTGCCGTGTTGCCTTCCGCCTCTTTCCATCCATCCTGCCGTCGGACGTAAATGAGCTGCCCGTCAGTCCCCACTCGCCCGCATCCTGGCGATCGTCTCTGATGGCTGGTCTCCTTCGTTATAAACTCAGTGACGGCAGAGGACTGGGCCGGGAGCCTCGGCCCCAGCGAGCCTGTGTCTGGCTCTGGCGGGGGGGCGGGGGTGGTAGAGGGGGGACTTGTAAGGGCCGTTGGATGGGTCTCTCCTACGCCGCGCAGCCTGCAGTTCACCAGGGCGTCTTCATGAGATGGAGCCAAACGAGGAGCCCATTTCTCTTCGATTCCACTGAAAGCTCCCGCCTGGGCCGGCTCGCATGTCCTGTCGCACGCGGACATTGGTCCCGGGCGCTGTCCCGGGCAGAACTGGGCCAGAGTCTTGCTGCTGCGGCTTCCGATGTCAGTGACGCGCTGCTGGGGCAGGGGTTGCTCCTCCCTCTCGTGTGGCAGCAGGTGGCCGTCGCCACCGAACACTCTCACGGGGGTGATGGCGCTCACGGCGGCCCATCTGCAGAAGGGCCACACAGGGCACCTGTACGGAGCCCTTGGGAGAAACCCAGTGTCTGTCCATCCACAAGTTTGCATCCTGGTGTGACGCCTGCGCGTGTGGAGAAATCCCGTCGGCAGGAAGGGCTGGCCCAGTTGGTGGTCCGCTGCTTCCAAACGCAGTGAGGCTCCCCCACCCCTAGAGTAAGAGGGAATGTGGGGAGACCCGGTCCCAACCCTGACGTGGCCGCACTCGCAGGCCCCGTGGGCCTCGGCCAGACGCGGGCACTGGGCTCGTGTGTGACGGATGGGGCTGCTGTCCACGCCCCTCCCAGCACAGGCGGCTCACACCCCAGCTGGTTCTCTGCCTGTAAACAAGACAAGTGTGTCCTGAAGCTGGTGGGCATCCGTGGTGTGCACATCGCACACGCCAGGCGCTGTCCCGGGTGCTGTTACACGTGTGAACGCACTTAGTACCAACGGCGACCTGGGGCGGTAAGGGCTGCTCTTATGCAAATGAGGAAGCAACAAAGGAGAAAGCACAGTCACATGACAGACTCACATTTGAACTGAGTCTGGTTTTAGACTTCCTTTTTTTTAAAAAAAAATGTTTGTTTTTTTATTGATTTCAGAGAGGAAGGGAGAGGGAGAGCGAGATAGAAACATCAATGATGAGAGAGAATCATGGATCAGCTGCCTCCTGACCCCTCCTACTGGGGATCGAGCCCACAACCCAGGCATGTGCCCTTGACCAGAATTGAACCCGGGACCCTTCAGTCTGCAGGCCGATGCTCTGGTCCCTGAGCCACACCAGCTAGGACTAGAGCTTTCTTTTTTAAAAATTTATATACCATAAAAGGAACCATCTATATATATAAAAGCCTAAGTGACCATTATGACCAAACAACTGGAACGACCGCTCAACCAGTGGCTATGACATGCCCTGACCATCAGGGGGCAGATGCTCAATGCAGCCAACCTCCCTCAGCCCCTCCCCCCAGATAGGGACCCCACCCATGCACAAATTTCATGCACTGGGCCTCTAGTTTTAAAATAAACAGCTCAGTGGCGGTCAGTACATTTGCAATGTTACACCCATATATCGAGCTCATGGATTCAGTTCCTATGAGTTCAGGGACTGCATGTGAGAGCCTGGAGGTCAGGGTGCCCCTGAGACGTGACCCCGAAGTCTCAGCGCGGGAAGTGGGGGAGGCCCAGCTCGTAACAATGTGTTCCGTTTGCATAAGGCTGGCTTTTGCTCGGTGTTTTAATAATCACTGTTCTCAGCAGTCCCCTAAGTTGAAATCACTTGAGTTTGGAATGATTAAATGAGTGCGCAGGAACCTTAAGGACTGGTGTTCGGGAACAGGTAATTGCCTTTTAAAAGTTAAAATTGAAACTCGCGGCCATCACAACACTTTCATTTCTATTCAGCCCGCCCTCCCGCGGGGATTGCAGTTAATGTCTCCCCGAGATGACACACGGCGCCTTCCTGTTAAATCTCAGAAATTCAGCCCCGTTTCCGATGATTGCATCTTGGTTCAATTTCCCTCCGCACCACCTCTTCCTGGACGCACCGTGTATTGTTTAAATGGCTTTTTAAAAAATTATTAAAGAAATGCACATTATTTTATTTTATTTTATTTCATTTCTGGGGAACTCCATCCCCGTTCCCACAGCGGCTGTCCGTTTGTTTCCACCAGCAGTGAATGAGGGTCCTTTGTCTCACAGCCTCTCCGATTCCTGCTGATTCCTGTCTCGTTGATGGTAGCCTTTCTGTTTTGGCCTCTCTCACGTGTGGGCCTCCCTCGGATGTGTGATCCCTGAAGAAATGCATGTACTTGAAACGCTAGATATCGCCGAGTACACACAGCCCAGCACCGCCCCCCCCAGCTCCTCCTCACGGTCCCATGAGCTCCGACCTGACGTCCATCAGTCGTCCTGT